TAACTCTCTCTGTTGCAGCTGACACTGTCATCTGAACATGATGTATCAGGGACAGGCAGCAGGATAGCTGCATGCATAGTCAGTACACTGGAGGGGAGCAGAGCTGTGGATAAATGTTAGTAGCACTAACAACAATTACAATTATATTTTATAATATGATAAAATGATTATTGCTCTTGCACACGCTGGCTCTTTAACCCTAATACACACTTCTTTGAACTTTAGCTTAATTAAACTGTTTTGTAGAACCACAAACCTCAGTCCTCCTATAAGGTTTTAACAGAGGTAAAACTGTGCAATTTGTGACTGCAGTAGGACTTCAAAGGGCAATAAATCTACACTGCTAAGACAGATAAGTAAATGCTTCTTACTGCACAGTGAGGGGTCTGTGATTAGAGGACCCTGAGCTCAGTCCTTCTATATGGGGAAACCTCACAGTTTAGTTTTCCTTATCAGCCTTCCTAATGGGACTCCCTCCTACTCCAGGTCCCATAGCAGCCATGTGGGCTGCTAGTGCTATTGTTACACCAATCAATTTGAACATCCAACCCAGACGCGTAGGTATGAGCAAACCTTGCAAGGTTCAGTTTGAGCCAGGTTTGGTGAACCCAGTGGGAAATTCCCAAACACCAAACTTATCGCTGAACCCCACTGATGTGTATGGAAGCCAAATCTTGCAGTTGTTTTTCTGGCATGTTCAAGGCTCATAGGCAAGCTACGGTTGAAAAAAGGGCATACGTAGCTGTGCATGGTCATGGGGGACATGAAAAAAAAATGTCAAAGAAAAAAATACTGTACAGTGGGAGAGGGTCTTTTCACACGGCTTAAAGGGCAACATTAAAAATACAAAATCCTTTAAAAAGCATGCTTGGGAGATGTATTAGAGTTGCACATGGTGTTACAGAACAGTACAATGTTGTCCTTTAAAAGTGACAGTAGACATTAATGACAGTAGGCATTAAAAAAGGGAAAAAATTGGTGTGGAGTTCCCCCTGAAAATCTACCCAGACCTTTATCCAGGCATGTAGCATGTGCCCCCCCCCCCCTTCATGTATAATACCTGGCCATGTATCTTTCAACATTGGGGGTACATGGGGGGGGGGTACATTGGGGTGCCAAAGCCTCTCCCTTTTGCAAGGGACCTTTTCCTAATTTTGAGGGACAAGGGCCCTTTGCTTTTATTCTCTCCCCCATAATGGATGTGGAGTTTGTGGGAGGAACGTATAGGAATCTGGATGCTCCTTTTATTATAAGGTGGCCCCCAGATATTCACCCTCTCCCAGGGGATTGAGTACAGGGGTTTTTTAGTACCCCTTATTATTCATTCTCCAAATATAAACACACTGTAAAAAAGTCCTTTCAATAGCAATACAAAATGTAAACAATGTATCCAATATAAATCCATTGTCAATTATGTTGTCCAGTGATGTAAATCCAATCATGACTCCAGCCCAGATGTAATTCATAACCATGTAATAATGTTTCCCAACCACCCCCTAACCAGCCACTTGACAATGTTTCTCGGTCAAACTCCCATCACTAAATTACAGATCCCTGATCTGACTGTCATGACCATATTTGACTGTTTTCATTTTAGCAGCCAGGGATTCGGACAAATTAAGTGGACAATTCTCATCCCTATTGAATAGTTCAGGTGCCCTGTTTTTTCAGCTCCATGTATGGTTTCTCACAACAGTTTAGGAAGACAAAGCTGTGGCCATGTGTACACAGTCTACAGAGTCTACCGAGACCCGGCATCTTGTAACTTCTAACTAAAAATTATGTTGGATGATTATGTGTCAGGGTTTCTTACCCTTTCTCCTATAGTCGGCTGTGCATGGCTTGTTTTGCAGTATGTTTGACACTGTTGTTGATGATTGGCGCCCTCTTATGACCAAACCCGTAAACATCATCATTTTGCAACTATGGACAAACTCCTGACAAATTCCTGTCTCAGAGTGAGGATGCAAACAACAGCTCACTATTTAAACTTCAGCTCGTCCATTCAGCCTCCTCCCTTGCATGTGTTCTGATCTACCAAGTGCTCTGCTGTTGTTCCTGTTCTCAGTGTATGACCCTAGCTCTGGCATAGATCTTCTGGTTCCTGACTCTGGCTATTGTTTCCATCCATGCTGCTCTCAGAGTTCCCTGACCTGGTTCAGCTGACTATCCCCTTGGGCATCAACTACGTCCTGGACTTCCTCCATTGTTTTTTTTGCCATTTTTACAATTATTTTTCTCAATAAACTCCTTTTATTTTGAATCTGCACTTAAGATTCTGTCTGGTTTCCTGGTTACTTAACATGATGCCATCTCTAAATCTTACTGAGCCCTGAAGAAGGGGGACATTTTTCTTTGAGCCCCGGAACACGTGGGCTGTTTTGTGTTGTTATGAACTAATATTAATAAAATATTTTGACTCTTGTTTGGCACCCCACTTAGACTTTTTACACTTGGATCCTCAACTCTGAGTTCCCTTTTTTTAAAGGGGAGTCCTGTTGTGTAGAAAACAGCCGTACTGGAGCCACTATGCCCTGTTAAAATATGAATGACTAAATTTTAATCCAGCACCTCATTTTCACTTGTTTGGAAAGATGTGACCATGGCAGGGACACACATTTTGCCTTAACAGATGTTATCTAGCCTTTTGTGTTAGACTTTACATGTATTACACAAGTGAAAGTGAAACAAGAATCCCTTCTAATAGGAGTTTAAAATGTTAACTATACATATTTCTTATAGGTGTTACCCTTTATTACAGAGTGCATCGGTTATGTTGCTATGGTTCATAATTAAATCACGCATCATTAACTCTTTGTAGTAGTGTATGCTAGACAATTGGACATAACACACTTGTACTGAAATTACAGCCAGCAGTGTGGATCTTGGAGGCTCACTGTGTTATGTTTTGAAGTGCCACCTCTATTTAAATAGCCCTTGGGCCAGTGATGACAAATGTCAAGAGGCTGTTCATTCATAAGAGTTTCAGGAGGTGGAGGCAGTGCCTGGGAGTACACACAGAAAAGCTTGCAGGCGGGGGAGTGACTTAGGTATCAGAGTGAGAAGCATTCAGCACATTGATTTTACACACCCAGACATTACTGCACAGGCAGTCTCTGTGCTATGAGATTACACTCATAATCCTGGACCTGGAGCTGGCAGCACAGTTCTTGGAGAACAATCTAACTTTTTCACTGAAATAAAATAGGAAAAGCAAAAGGGAACAGGCAATGAATGTCAACTAGTCCTTTAACTTAATCCTGTCTCTTTCTTGCAGACTTGCCAAAAGTTTTTCCTACTGATACAGAATTTGAAGAATCTAGGCATTCCTACCCACTTCATCTACCCCTGACCACCTCTAGTTCTTGCAATGCAAAGATGCTCTGACTAGTTTGTGGATTTATTTCAATGTGACGGCACTGGGACTCACTTGAGAAAAGGAGACAGTTTGTCTGGAAGGATTTGGAGAAGAAGCAAAAAGTCTCAACTGTGGCTTTTATTTTCTGGCTGGACTCCTTTGGTCGAATTTTTGCTACGTGGATCACCAAGCAGAGACTTAGAACAGGTAAAGTCATTAAGGTTTTACTGATCCACAAGTCAATGCTGCATGTTTCACATTAGCCGCTGTAAAATGTTATGTGTTTGTTCATTTCTCAGATGTTGTGTTTGGCTGACTTTGATGTTAACAGTAACTAAATTGTTTTATAAGTTACCTGCATTCTGATCAAAGCAATGGTTATAATCCTGAAGCTTTACACCTTGTTTGTTGGGGATTTTTACTATTGATTTTTATGTTAAAGACGCCGAGTGAAATTTTTATGACTCTGGCTGATTTTATGGTAATTAATAATATTTATAGCCTTAGCAGATGACAGCTTTCACTAGTATGGACAGAAGCTATTTAAGAGTTAAAGAGTCTCTATGTCAAGACAATAGCGACTCCTAAATAATGATTACAGAACTGTCATTATAGCCCCTGCAGCGAAAAAACATTTTTTGTTTGTTTATCAATTGTTTCAATTGGACAAACTTTGTAAACGGCTTGAAGCCTGCATATGCCCAGAACTACCTAGCTAACAAGTCCTGTCCAGTTCATGTGAGCCTAGTTCAGCTGCAGACAGGTATATCTCTTTAAATGTAAGGAAATCCTATTACAATCCTTAAGTACACATAGAGCTGATTTGTGATAGCTGTAGATATGAAAGTGGGGATGTTGCACATTTTGAAAGCAGGGTAGAAAACTAAAGCAAGCATTTTTCTATCACCCCTACACAGCAAATATTGACATTTTTAAAAGTACACTTTAGTGATATGTTGTTGAATTGTATTCCATGTAAATATTTATATATTTGCTGTGAGAATTTTAAAAATAGTATACTTGTGTTGTTCTTTAACTCCATCCAACATAATATGTAGAATGTAATAATAACCCATGGGCTTATTTTTTATGGTAGAAGGAATGATAATTGTTTAAAGTAACCAGTTGGAAATCATATTGGATTGATCCAACAAGTTGAATAAAATGCAGTTGTTACTATGGCTTATGGAGAAGAGGCTGTTCACTTAGCAAAGTGAATATTTGCTTTGTAAAGGGACTGTTCACTTAGCTTAGTAAAGAAGGTAAAGATGTGTTCACTTTGAATACTAAGTCATGGCAAAATATATATATATTTTTTTAAAGTTGATTTTTACTTGCCCATGACTTGATGAATGAAGCAAACACAACTTCCCTTATTCACCAAGGTATGTGAGCATTTACTTAGCTAAGCAAACAATTGTTAGTTATTAAGAAGTCAATCAACCCCAATAAGCTAAATATTGAAAAAGAAATCTCTGAGCAGTCTAACTACAGTCAAGACAACCCAAGCGCCATACCTCTAAACAGCCAGAGATAAAAATCAGACCAGATACGCTCTTTCCCCCAGAATTAACTCCATCCCACTCTTCTCCATATCTAGACAAAACAATAACCACCATTCTATGTCCCTTCCCTTTCTGAGTCTGAAAAGCTTGATAATCCCGCCAAAATAGGGAGAACTACAAGATCTGGATATTGGATATGTCACTTTTGGTGACATATCATTGCTCTTTGCAATATGTGATTAAATAAGCCTCTATAACTGGGATGATGAATGCTCAAAAGAGGATTAGCTGCCATTTAAAGTGCTCCAAAAAAGGGCAGGTTTTGAAGACCCCAGAAGAGATGTGGGTTTTTTTTGAAGACTGTTAAGACTTAATTTATGTGAGCTTAAATTGTGGAACACATAAATATGGCTAGTTGACGAGGTGCTTGAAGAGAAAGTTGATAGAACCTGGTATGAATGATAAGCTGCTCATCCACATTATTATAGAGCTTAATGATTTAATTTAGCTGGCTTTGATGTAATGTTGGCCTTTGATGTGTCTGTGTTCTGCACCTCGAAGAATCCTATTTGTATCTCTCTGGAGTTTAAATAGAGGTAGTCTCATGCTTCACCACACGTTCATTGCCTGAGCTTTGTAGTGGTTGCTGTTTCCCACTACAGCTTAACCTCCTCCTTCCAGATGTGTGCGGTTCTGTCAGGAGACCAGTCAACTGCATGTTGCTAATGGTGCCACCTACTTGCCATGCTTAATCCTTGCAGCTTTTTATTCTGTTTGCTTTGACCCTCACCATGTTTGATTTGTGCTTGTATGATGAAGGAAGTAAGGATGCATGTGCTGAATATGGTCTCTGCTATAATACAATGCAACTGCTTACATGAAACAGGGTTAAAATAATATTCACTTAAAGCTGGAATTGAAAAAGAAAACATCTAGGAGTAATGGAAATAACTCACAAAGTCTCTATCCCAATTGTTACTTTTTATTGCTTGCTTTTTAATTGTTGTCTATTTATTGAAAAGGAATTTGCAGACTTTTAATATTTTTTGAATATACACTTGAAATAATCTTATTAGTGTTAGTTAACTACCTGCCGTCTGGCCGTGATTAAGCAGCCGGACAGCGGCTTCTTGAATGCGAGTTGGCGTTTTTCAATGTCCTTTCCCGCCCTGCTTGTGCCTGCGGCGGTGTGGACGAGCAGGAAATCTGTTGAAATGTTAACAGCCAGTGATGGCTGTTTTCATACAAGCGTTCCGGCATCTGTAGGGATGCCCGATCGCTTGTATTATGCGTGTGGGTGTGCGCCCTCCTCCGCTGATCCTGAGCTCCGCTGTGCCCGGTGCGAGCTGGGACCGGCACGGCGGCTCTGTCACTGGAGATCAGAGGGAAATCAGTACACAAGCTCCCTCCGACCTCCTCTCTGGTCTCTGAATGCAGGAAGTGATGTATATTACATCACTTCTGCATTCAGATGTCATTCCCGGCTACAGAAGCCGGGGAGAATCTGGTGAAGCAGATCTCTGCTTCATCAGCTTCCCTGGGAGTCCCTAGGTGACATTAGGGGTCTTAGAAACCATAAGAGGACCTGTCACTGTATATTGGCTATCACATAGGGGGCTTGTTATCCCCCTATGTCATAGCAATAAAGATAAGTGAAACAAAAAATAGCTAAAAAAAAATTAAAGTTACAAAAAAAAATTTAAATCACATATAAAAAAATTAACATTTTACAGTCCCAACCACCTCCACATACAAACATGCATCTGGTGTGCCTACGTGTGAAAATGATGATTGCGCCCATTACGCCTGCACTGCAAGGGTTAAGTGCTCGTTTTAGTCTACGGTCTAAAATAACAAGGTATGATTACCCAAACTTCAGTCTCCTGGCGGTGACCGCTTACCTCTCTCCCCCTCTGCTCTGGCTGTGGAATGTCTCTCGGTGTCCTCACATCCAATGCAAGTTAATGGAAGTGATGCTGTCACTGGTCCCTAGATCGCCGGGGCCCAGGATAGAAGAGACTGCAGGGACCAATCTAACACTGTAATATTCAAGTCCAAAAATATTCCAATGAAAAAAGTTTTTAAAGCCAATGCGTTTTGGAGTCTGTACCTCCATCTCATTCATCAGGGCTAACATGTAACATAAAAGACAAATAATTGTTATGTATGAATGTTCGTGACACAACGTTCAGAAGCTTGAAGTACAAAATCTGATACCAATAAGGACAACATGAAATAAAAGTTAAAAAAAATAGTAATGATGATATTAAAATAAATGGGGGGGAGGGGTAATAAAGATAAGAATCATTACAAATTGATAATACACATATTAGTAAAAAAACATATTAACAGCAATAAAACACATAGCAATATTAATATTAACAGTATTTGTGACCATCATTTAATGTTATACAAATATTAACATTAATATTATATATTGTATAAAATATATATGATATATAATCAAATGTAGGAAATTATAATAATAAATAGAATAATCATATGAACATACAAACAATGACCATATATAGGCGCAAATATAAAGATTATTCCAAATGTGCACCTATTATGACCCATATCTCAACACAGTAATAATTTGAAAATGTTATCTTTTTTTCATAGTCTATTGTTTGCTTCGCATCTCCCCTCCTTACTCCGCTCCTCCTCCACTAACGCTTTTCACCGCTCTAGGGGCTCATTCAAACTGGAATCGGTCGGCACGTACAGCTCCATGCTGCATGCAGGGCCATATAGAGCAGCTCCCGGGAAGGACAGGTGCTGCGTGTGATTAGTACGCAGCCCCTGTCCTTTTCTATGGGACTACGGGGCCGTACGCCGCCCCCTACGCTCACTTCAAGTGCAGGTCCGTATGGGTGAGTGTTTCCTGGCTCAGACGCAGTACTCCCATAGAGAAGGACAGGGGCTCCGTACTAATCACACGCAGCACCTGACCTTCCCATGAGCTGCTCGATACAGCCCTGCACTCAGCACGGAGATGTACGTGCCGGCCGATTCCAGTGTGAATGAGCTCTAAGGAAGAAAATGAGGTCACCAGCACGCCAAGGTCCACTTCATCGATCCATCCTTATATTGACATTTAGATATACATGGTGTCACAAGCAAATGCAACATTTCGGAACCACATGCGGTCCCTTTATTAGGCAAAACAATGTAACAGTCAGTTCAATAAACATGGTGGGTAAATACGTCAGTGAATTTACCTGAACCTAATCAGTTATTGTGGCCACACTCCTTCTGTTATTATAATGTCATTTTCCCGCCAAAAAAACACAAAACCCACAGTTAACATTGTTGTTTCTATGCAAAATGAATCACCCCTTTAGGAATCCAATCATAGTAGATGGTATAAAATGCCCTAGAGTAGGAGGAGCTGAGTCTGGCAGTAAGGTTTCAAACTCTATAAAAAATCTAACAGGTATGCAGGTTTTAAAAAATAAATTTGTATGGATTTCAGGGAGCAGACGGACCCTGCTAAGTCATGCGTACCTGCAGTGAGTGGTGTATATCTGGAAGTCCATCTGGAGTGGTAGTGTTCTAAAGCAGCTTCCATGAGTAACAACATAATGGAACTTGATTTCCTGTCCTATTTTATATTATTTTCATTGAAACAGGTTTCCTCTAAGTATTATGTGATTGCTCAGTCAGCTACTTTAAAATCAAACTCCTCTGTAAGTGCTTTTT